TTTATCAGGCCATATTAGGTATCATTCGCTTATGCATCGGGCCTCCCTATGGAGCCCGCATTGGACCCATATTGTACCATTTAAAAGTGTGCCATGCAATAAGCTCAAAAAGTGATGATCAAGGCTCGATTACTAAAACAAATCCGAAAAAGATAAATTATACTAAACAAAGTTAGGTATCTACACCTTATAAGTAAGAGGACAATGACAAAAGCTATTGAGACTAGTATATGGCTATACTTTTGTTTATGAAGCAAACAATTGATCTCATAGGTTGAATTTTGGGTAAACTTGAGCTAATATGTAGGGTCTTGTTACAAGAACAAGTTCTCTTAACATGACCTGATATGAGAATGCTATATGGTAGTTCACATAGTGTTTATAGCTACATTCTCATGTGATGCTTATATAAGTGATCATTTAACTCGAGATTACTTATGATCTTCTATGAAAACTGTTATACTTTGACTTTACTTTTACTTATGGTTCTAACTAAGAATAGTCTAGTCGAGTATTGTTGGGTATAACATAAGGTGTATGAAGATGCATGAAGTAATCAAGATGGGATTCATCAACTTGTGTGATCAAGAGAGTATCTCAACTAGTCTTGATTGAATTAACTTGAGAAATATTTGTTCAAAATAAAATAAGAGTTTAGAATTGTTCTAAAGTTTATTTATAAGTTAATGTCAAGGACAAGACTTAATATGGTTGAACAAGATGAGTGGACACTAAACTATACTTAATGTGCAAACTAAGATACTAAGTGATAAAAGGATATTAACTATATATTAAGATCATTCATGGATAGGTTGTCAAGCCATATTGACCTTTCTTTAAGAATCTGGGGTCATGGCAATGAAGCTAGCACTAATCATGATATATAAATATAATATTGGCTAATTAGAGAATTAGTGATGAAGTAAAAAATTTTGTTTCATCCATACCTGAATACTAAGGCTTACAATGCTTATGTTTATTGCCAACATGCTAAAGAACTTAATGGGTCATACTCAATAAGACAATTGTGAAAGATTAAAATTGGGACAAATTAAGTTGAACTTAATCTGTTTTTGGTATGACTAAAAGATAGAGGAAATAAAATAAAAGAGAGTGACTTTCCTTGTTTAGACTATTCAACCAAGCATGGGATATTTATGGAAATATACATGTCTTGCATTAAACCTAATGTGTTCGAATGTCCCTCTATATAAAGAACACCAAGTCACTGTTTCTCTTGTAAAAAAGATACAAGCCATGCTTGATGTAAAAATTAGCTAAGAGAAAATCTAAGTAAAAACTTGAGAGAACACAAGAGGTTTTGTAAACACTCACTAGCTAGAGTGTGGCTTGTGTTCTTCCTTATCTTAGATAAAGTTCTTTCATAATAGCTCGGGTGGATCACCATTATAGGTTGCACACTTGGTAGCTTTTTGGCTTGAGAAACTATTTGGAAGATCACCACCTTGAACCAAAAGAGTTTTGGCACACAAGATATACACCATAGCTGAAACCCATATAATTTGTATGTATTGTATGCTTGTATGATCTTGTTGATTGATCTTAGCGTTAAGAAATTAAAAATTTTGAAAATTCCACTGCTCTAATGCTAATTATCAATGCTTAATTCCTTTTATATCCCCTTACCCAAGGTTTTGTACTACAAATAGATCCTCTGCTCACTTGTAGAGCATCCCTTTTTTTGTTTCTTGCTTTCTTTTCTTTACTTTAAGTTTTAAGCTATTTTTTAAATATTTTTCTAGCTCCATTTAGCTAGGGTGATAGACTAACCAAAGATTTTTTGTTTTGAAGTTTCTTATTTTCAATACAAGTTCTATTCAACTTTTTTGAAAGCTTTCTTTTTTTTTATGTTTCAAGAAATTTAAGTTTATTTCCAAATTCTTTTAAGCTTTTAGTTTTCTTATTATTCCATTTACATTTATGCAATCACTCAAATTCATTTCCAGACTCTTTTAAAGCATGTTTCACTTGTTTTCCATTTTCATTCACATTTCATTATAAACTTGTCTTTTATTTCCTTGTTCTATTCGGCCAACCCCAAGTGCTTGGCCTTTATAGCTTTACCACCTTAAGTTTATGTTTACTTCTATTATTTAGCTTTATTAGGTCTTTCATGAATCACTAGCTTTGTCATAACGTATAAGTTCATAAATTTATTGCTAGACACAACTTTAGGAGTTACTACCAATCTTTTTTTACTTAAGTATGATTAGCCACCTAATTGAATTAGTCACCATTTAAAGAAAAGTTCTAAGCTTGACTTGGGTATCTTTAAAAAGGTATATTCTAGTCTAAGAAATCAAAACTAGGTTTAGGAGTACAGTTACACATAAGAAAGGTTATAACACCCTCACAATGCCTATCTAAAGAATGGTTCTAGTTGATTTCATGTTATCCAAAACCTTAAAATTTTTTTAAATTTTACTAAATGACTTATTGCTTCAAAATCAACAAAATCTTCCAATAGTTCAGTTAGATTTTATTTTGAGATTCAATCCTTTGATAGGATGGTAAGATTAAAATTATAAATTTAACTTTCTTTAAAAAATAATTAAATATTCTAATAATTTAATAAAATTTAATTATGAGATTTAAATCCTCTAATAGTTTGGTATGATTTTTATTTAAAATTTATTTTAAAAAATCATTAAATCTTCTAATAGTTTGGTAAAATTATGACAGCACCTTAAAATATAGTGTTTTAATATGTTAAAATTGGTGCTAAATTTTAATTTTTGGTTAATTTTTGTGCTTTTCATGTTGTTTTTATGATTTTAGGGTTTTAAGCTTGTAGACTTAGTTTTCATGCAAACTATAAATGTATGCATGCAAAAGCACATATGGCCATATCTTGGAAGCATATAGCCAAACCCTATTGGCCTAATATCATGCAACTATGCAGCCAAGAAGGAGTTTTAAATGCATAAGGACACTTCCAACTCTCCCATGGTATTCGGCCAAAGCAAAAATTTAAGAAGGTTCCAAGCATTTTCAAGCTCACATGGACTTTATCTATTCGACCGAAGAAGATTTTATCCAAGAATGACTCTTTTGCTTAACCATAAAGGAATTTAAATAAATAAGAACTCCTATCTTTTATCTCCTATTCAGCTATGACACAATCCAAAAGGATTCCATGCAACTTTAACCCAACATGGAGACTAGATAAATTCAGCTAAGGATGTTTGATATGGACAAGGACTTTTTTTGTTACTCTTTGAAGAGTCATGATAAAAAGAGGACTCTTGCCATTTAAATTGAAAAAGTTTGGATGAAATTCAAATGCATTGTCTTGTAATCCAAGAGTTAGCTGAACCTACCTAGAAGAATGGATCAGGATGGTAGCCACACAAATCAAAGGGCCAAGATTAAATCCCAATAGACCATTTGGCCAAGATCACTCCACCACGAAGAGTCCCATTCAATCATGATGCTATGAAGATCAAGATTGAGTTTATCATGTAAAATTTAAATTTAAATATAATCCTATCCCCCTATGGCTGAATCCTTCACTTTAATAGGGAGGCCATTCACTTTATTTCATCATCCCTCATCTCATTTTTCTCCTCTCTTCTCTATTTTCTTAGTTCTTTTCTTTAGTTTTTAGCTTAGATTAGTTATTGGCCTAGGTGATAGATTTGCCAATAACAAAAGCTTTGTTCAAATTCTTTTCTTTTAATTCAAGAAGTATTTTCCAAAATCTTTTTTTCATTACTTTTAATTTCAAATCTTGTTTTTACTTTCTTATTTTCAACAGTCATATTCTTTTCTAATCTTTTGTTTTTTAATTTCTCTTTTATGCAAGATTAGTTTTGATTGTGGCTTTTCTCTATAAAATCTCATGCAATTTTATTTTCTTACTTTTTTATGCAATTTTATACCAGTCAGCCTTCATCATTTGTTCTTATTTTTCAAGTTGTTTTCTTTAGTTTTTGGTTATATTTTTTTACTTCCTAAGTGATAGTTGGAGAAGTTAAGATTTAAGCTTACACTACTATCCAATCTTTTTGTTTATGTAGATCTGCATCCAAACCCAATTTTTCATGTATTTAGATATAGAATTTTAGGATCTCACCATTGGTACTTTAAAAACTACCTAACATTTACAATTATAATTCCTTGGGATATGATACTATAATACTTCCATTTTATTACTTGATTAGTGCACTTATAGGTTATACAAAAAGTAGCAATCAATTTTTGATGCTATTGCCAGGGATTATAGTAGTGTTCTCAATATCAATAAAGATTTTTTAAACTTTTATTATCTAAACTCTTTTTCTTCTATTTGCTTTTATCTTTCTTTGATCTTTTTTGTTTGTATGTGCAGATCCAAAAGTGTTGATCTAGCTCCAATTGATCAAAAAATTGAAAAAACATTCAGAAAAATAAGAAAAGAGTAATCAACACCACTTGTACCAACACCAATGGCCAATGCAAAACAATGAGGCTTAAAGAACCTTAAGGGATTATGTTGTTCCCAATTTTGATGGCTTTCAACCATCTATTAGAAAGCTCACTATTCAAGCCAATAATTTTGAGATCAAGCCTTCAATAATACAAATGGTCTAAACTTCTATACAATTTGGAAGACTACCAAGCGATGATCCTAACCTACATCTATCTAATTTTCTTGAATTATATGATACTTTTCAATATAATGGTGTTGTTGATGAAGCTATTAGATGAAGACTTTTTCCTTTTTCTTTAAGGGACAAGGCAAAAATGTTGGTTGACATCACTACCACTTGGTTCTATCACAACATGGGATGATTTGGTACAAAAGTTTCTGGCAAAGTTTCTCCCACTAGCCAAAATAGCAAAGCTAAGGAATGATATCACTACATTTTTGCAAGCAGGTGGTAAAATATTATATAATGTAAGGGAACGATTCAAATGAGTTGTTAAGGAAGTGCCCACATCATGGTCTACCCTAATGACTGCAAATCCAAATTTTTTATAATGGTCTCAGACCACCAATGAGAACCACTTTGGACTCAGCTACTAGAGGGGCAAATATGAGCAAGACTCCTGAGGAAGCCAATAAGCTAATTGAAGAGATAGCTATAACAAATACCAATGAGGCATGGAGGGAAATGTAAGTAAAAAGTCTGCTGGTTTATTTGAGATAAATGTAATCACCTCCATCAATTCCCAATTAAATGCCTTAACCAAAAAAATTAAAGCCCTAAGAGCCCAACCTAAACCAACCATATGAATGCAATCCAAAACCCATTTATTTCTTATGATATCTGTAAACGACCCTATTCCAGTGAAAGATGTCAACTCATGATAGAACCTATCCAATACATCCAACAATCTAAGCCTAACTACAATCTCTACAGTAATACCTATAAACCTAGATGGCAAAACCACCTTAATTTTTCTTAGAAACAGCCAAACCATCAATCCACTAATAACCAAAATAGTAACTACTGCCCTAATTCACCAATGTACAACCCATCCCAAGAAAAGAAACATATTTTTGAAGATAAGTTGACCCAGTTAATGCAAGCAAGGAATGTCAACATCCAAAGCCAAGCTGCATCAATTAAGAACCTTGAAAACCAATAGGCCAACTGGCCTAAGCTATAGCCAACCACTCTATAGGTACCTTGGCTAGCAATATTAAATCCAACCCCAAAAGACAAGACAAGGAAAAATATAATGTTATCTATTTTTTAGGAGATGTTAGGATAGAGGATTCTGATGAGGGGGATGATTTCATGAATAAACCTATAGTGCTAAACCTCTCAATTTTTGTGAAACAACTTAAGGTAGATTTTGTAGGGAAAAAAGATATACTAGAAGATGAAAAACTCCTGAGATATGGAAAAAAAATCTTGAGGGTTTTGACCCTTTGACATGAGAAGCCTACAAAAATATTGAATCATGTGAAGAAGACCCTAAAAAGGAAAATGTTGAGATAGAATATGAAGAAGATCTTGAAGAATACATTGAAAGGTTTGCTAAAGAAAGGCAAATGCTATTGTAAGTAAATAAAGCACTATTAGAAAGTATTCAACTTGAACTTGAGGAAACAGTTCAAGAAATAGTTTAAAAAAAGGTAATCTAAGAAGAAGTAAGTCAAAAGAAAGAAGATCAAGAGGAGAAAGTAAAAGAGGAAGTGTAAGCAAAGTCAAGGATGACAATAAGAATGTATAGGTAGTATTTGAACATAGCACCACCTTCCCCAAGGCTTATTTAAAAAAAGGTGCTTAAAGAATTGAAAGAACCCACAATTTTAAAAGATTATAGCCTTAAACTTCAACAACTCTTGCTAGAAAGCAAAAAGATTCAAGGAGTTTTACTATTCCTTACAAAGTTGGAAATTTAAAATTTGATAATGCTTTTTATGATCTTGGCTATAGCATAAGCCTACACCTTTAAATATTTTTATACAACCAGGGTGTAGAGCGTTGAAGCCTACAAAATTCAACCTTAAATTTGTGAACTATTTTACCAAGCTACCATAAGGGTTGTCGAAAAATGTGCTTGTGAAAGTTAGTAAGTATGCATTCCCTATGCATTTTTCTATTTTAGACATGAAAGATGATGAAACACCATTACTATTAGGAAGACCTTTCTTATTGATTGCCAAAGCTTTAATAGATGTTTTACAACTCTAGCCTTACCCTTAGATTTAAAAATAAGAAGCTGTAGATTGTGATTAGAGGGTATGGTGTTCTTAGAGACAAAGATGATGTTAATGCAGTCAAGGTAAAGGAAAACCTTAGGGATCCTAACCCACTAATACAAATGCATTTGGTAACCCCTAGCTTCAGCAATGTCAAATGCATGATGAAATCAAGTTTTGTTTATGTTATTCCTACTAGGAGAGTTAGTACACCTCCTAAGACCAATTTTTTTATGTCATTCCTTAGAGAATGAGGCAACAAGGTAAACTCCCTCCTAACAGGATAATATGATTTTGTTAGATTTAGGAATGCTCAATCTTAAGTAGAACTAGCTTTGTTTGAGAGGCAACCTAAAGTTTATTTTCACAGTTTATGTTTTCTTTATTTTTATTAGGATGCTATATTTTAATGTTTTTATTTGAATTTATTATTGTAAGGATGAAGCAAAGCAAGGAGGATGCCTCATTAATTAAAGATTCGACCTTAAAGTAAATTTAGGGAGTATTTCTTTTTCCTTTGATTTTTATTTTGATACATTGTACAATTTAAGTGTGGTAGAAAAATGCTTTAAGAACTTAAATAATGTTTGAAAAACTCAATTTTGCTTTTAAACCAAATTTACATACTAGATTTCATTGATATGCACACTTAGTTAATTTTGCATAACTTTTCAAGATTGACTATAGTATGATATGAAGTTTGATTATGAATATGGTGGAACTTGAAAGGAATTCTTAAGCATGCTTTTCTTTAAATATGATTTTTATGCTTATGCTTTATTCTCTTTTAAGGAAATGCTCTGATTCTTGTGAGATTTTGTGAGATATGGATTTGTATGAAATTTTAAGATATGAATAAGCACTCTAAAATTCACTTACATAACTCTTGAGGTGAAATCCTAAATTGTATTTGACTCAAGAGATGACATAGGCCATTTTTTGGATTGTTTAAGCCTTTTTCAAGCCACCCTATTATGATGCATCCCCAGTAACTTTATTTTGGGCTATTATAGTATTCCTTTTTCTTTGTTTATTTAGCCATATACTAAGCCAATAAGCCTTTTCTTTGATTATTATCCCTTCTTTTGTTTTACCTAATCCAATTGTGCTTACTTATGTATTATGACATACTTTGGTATTTTGGAGGAAGGGAGGCACAAAGAATGAAAAGAAAAGAAAATGACAAATGCAAAGGGAAAGCCTAATAAAGCCAAAATGGCTAATTTTTCCAAAAAAAAAAAGGATGCCTTAAATAAAGAATAAAGTGATGCCTTAAAAGTCAAAGTTTCAAAAAAGCTCTCAATTTTTCAAAAGTCCTAGAAATTCAAAGAAAGTAATATTAGGCTTTTGAGCCTAAAATTTCCTTTTTATTACCTTGACTTAAGCCTTGCATTGCAAGCCGAAAATACCTTTTATCTTGAGTCAAGTATATAAGTGTAACATTAGTAGAGAGGGAAAGGGAAATTGAACATATGAAGTCTATTCTATCTTTGAATTGAAATGTGATAAAATGTTTTGCATTCTTTTCACTTGAGTTATATGCCTGAATTAAAGATTGAGTAGATGTATATGTGTAAAAAAAGTAGGATAATGGGAGCTTGTTTTTGAAGGAATTTCTTGTAACTCTATATTTATATTTAGCTTTGCATTATGCAATAGTGTATGACAAGAATTTTATGTAACTTTTGATTTGTGAGTATGTATAATGATTTATAGTTTTGTTGATTTAAGGATTTTACTTAAGGACAATCAAAGATTTAAGAGTGAGGGTATGATAGCACCTTAAAATACAGTGTTTTTACATGCTAGAATTGGTACTAAATTTTAAATTTTGGTTGATTTTTTGTACTTTTCATGTTGTTTTTGTGATTTTAGGGTTTCAAGCTTATGGACTTAATTTTCATGCAAACCATGCATGTATACATGCAAAAGCACATATGGCCATATCTTGGAAGCTTATAGCTAAACCCTATTGGTCTAATTTCATGTAACCATGTGGCTAAGAAGAAGTTTTAAATACTCAAGGACACCTCCAACTCATGCATGGTATTAGGCTAAATAAAAAATTCAAGAAGGTTCCAAGCATTTTCAAGCTCACATGGACTCTATCTATTCGGCCAAAGAAGATTTTATCCAAGAATGACATTTTTGCTTAGCCATGAAAGAAATTAAATAAACAAAGACTCTTATCTCTTATCTCTCATTCGGCTAAGATACAATCCAAGAGAATTTCATGCAATTTCAACCCAACATGGAGACTAGATACATTTGGCTAAGGATGTTAGTGATGGACAAAGATTTTTTTGCTTGCTCTTTGAAGAATTATGATAAAATGAGGACTCTTGCCAATTGAATTGAAAGAGTTTGGATGAAATTCAAATGCATTATCTTGTAATCCAAGAGATAGCCAAACCTACCTAGAAGAATGGATCTAAATGGAAGTTACAAAGATCAAAAGGCCAAGATTAAATCCCAAGAGACCATTCAGCCAAAACCACTCAACCATGAAGAGTCTCATTCCGCCATGATGCTTTGGAGATCAAGATTGAGCTCTATTATGTAGAATTTGAATTTAAATACAATTCTTGTAATCCTATGCCCTTATGGCCAAATCCCTTGCTATAAATAGGGAGGCCATTCACATCATTTCATCATCCCACATCTCATTCTTCTCCTCTTTTCTCTCTTTTTTTAGTTCTTTTATTTAGTTTTTAGCTTAGACTAGTTATTAGCTTAGGTGACAAATTTGCCAATAACAAAAGCTTTGTTCAAATAATTTTGTCTTAATTTAGGAAGTATTTTCCAAGATCTCTTTTTCATTATTTTTAACTTCAAATCTTGTTTTAACTTTCTTATTTTTGGCAATCATATTCTTTTTAATCTTTTGTTCTTTAAATTCTCTTTTATGCAAGATTAGTTTCGGCCATTGTTTTTCTCTAGAAGATTTCATGGAATTTATTTTTCTTACTCTTTTATACCATACTATACCATTCAACCTTCATCATTTGTTCTTATTTTCCAAATTGTTTTCTTTAGTTTTTGGCTATATTGTTTTACTTCCTAAGTAACAGTTGGTGGAGTTAAGATCTAAGCCTACATTGCTTTCCAATCATCCATTTATTTAGATCTGTAACCAAGCCTAAATTTTCATTTGTTTAGATATAGAATTTTAAGATCTCACCATTGGTACTTGAAGAACTACCCAACATTTACAATCTATAATCCTTTGGGAGATGATACTGGAATACTTTTATTTATTACTTGATCTGTGCACTTGTAGGCTATGCAATAAATAGTAATGAGATTTAATTATGATATTTAAATAATCTAATAGTTTGGTAGGATTTTTAGTCAAAATTTATTTTTAAAAAATCATTAAATATTATAATAGTTTGGTAAAATTTAATTACAAAATTTAAATCCTTTAATAGTTTGGTAAAATTTTTATTCAAAATTTATTT